TGCTGATGTATTTCTTTGCCTTATTTCGGCAGAACGTTCACAGACGATGTGACTTTTCCAGGCTAGCGTTCTGCAACTGTTGGTGTCTCACCTTTGTACAGGTTTCCAACTGAAATAGCCTTCTTGAAGATCACTCGGTGCAGTTCACAGCCCTGCCCTTTTTAAGACCTCAACCAGTCTAGCCTCTGATCTACATTCCTGCAAAGATATGCAGACTATTTTGGGGGAGTATTTCCAGGTCACCAGGCACCCATGCCACCATAATAACGTCATTCAAATCCAGCCGTTCAATTACACGTGCGGCGATCAAACCCAAGAAAAATGTCATTGTCTACCCGTTTATATTTGGCGTTCGTGGATACAATTTCGAGATAAAACGGCCGTGAAGAGCCTCACAATCAATGTTGTGCAAGGTATGATGACGAAATTAAACAATGACATACTGAAGAGTATTATTACGTAGCAGAAAAATCGGGTTGGCTAGAGCAGTCTTTTCCATTTTAATGTATACCATTATTTATAAGCCAGCTTATTTCGTCAGACATAATGTTTCTTTTGATATCTTCAAATGTGGAATATTCATTTCAACACAATATGGTTTTAAGTCGGTGGACACGGCCCACAATGTCATAAATGTCACCTCTGGAAATAGGACACCGACAGAAACCGCACGCTTCTGCGCGCCGGTGCAAGTGGCAGCCCTTTCCCGCATTGTCAGCAAAAATATCAGCTGAGTGTCGGATTGGTTCAAGTTCACAACTACTAACCAGATACCCACCCAGGAGCAAATCACCGCTCACCACGGGATTACTATAGACCCAGAGAGGCTGTAGTGCGCCTAACTGGAGGACAGCCTGCGATCCTGTTGGTTATTTATCGGTGCCCTCGAGCCAGTGGGGGTCGGGTGGGCACGGCGTCGAGCGCTGTGACGGTCTCTGCGGGCCGCTGCCAGCCTGATTGCCTGCCCTGCTTTATGACCGGAGACGGCGGGGCACGGCCCGTCCTGATAGGTCGCCGCCGTGACCTCGCGCCACACCCTGAGCACGTCTAGACAAGGCCGGGCTCGACGCCACGCTTCAGGTCACGGTGTTTCCCGCGGTGCTCTTCTCCGAGGCCTTGGCGTAGCCTTGCCAGTTGTCATACGTAAGATATCGTGGTAGCTCAAGATCGCGCCGATGAGAACGTGCAATTGTGTCGCAGGCTGCGCCACCAGCGCCACACTGGCTCGCGGGGCATGAACTGGGAAACGAGTCACGAGGAGATCGCAGAGCATGACCAGCGAAGGACAGGTTCGCTGACCGATTCACCACTCTTTCGACAATTTCATTTCGACAATTTCGACGATTTTTGTGCGGAAGTCGGCTGGTGACGGCTGCTCGTAAGTTACATCATTTGTAGACGCAGACACATAGAACTGGCAAGCGCACGAAATTAGGGACGAGATCGCCTGGCAAGGAGTACTCTGAACTTGTCATCAAGAAAAGAGGAAAAAATTGCTGCTTGGGGTCAGCCCGTTTTCAGTGCACATGGTAATAGTTGGGATGCTGTAATACAATTTAATGTTATCCAAAAACAATCAGATTCGAATCAGATGTGCAATTTATGCCATGCCGTGTAACATGGCATGCGCGTGAAGGCGTTATGTGCCCGCTGAGACTTCGCTATAGCCATGGACAGAGATGCAGGGCGGCGAAGCGAACGGCTCGAGCGTTAACGGTGTCTGGAAATGATGTCGCATGGTCTGGCGTCGCTCAAATCACTCGCACATTGCTTCCAGTCCACACCATCAGCACCGACAGTGGTCGCTAGGGGATCCGAGTCTGGGCGAGCCTTTCCGAAATGGTATATGAGAGTCATTATCCTACGTCAGACGAGAGACTATTTCTGCCACCTTCGCCGCGAAGCCTTGCTCCGACCTGTGCCCATGATTCATTGGGTCTTCGCTCCGCTGACTATCGCGATATGGACAGCGAGCCGACCATATAGGTGCTTTAATGGCACACCATAAGCTGGTTCAGAGCGTAGTCATTAACCACGAGCGCGCTGACGCATCCGAAATAGTCTGTAGTGGTTGCAAAAGGCGCGACGGCGGAATAACACGTCCTTGCGCGTTGGATTACTTTGCCGTTGGTGGTTCAACTTTTTTTGTATCTTAGCCTACAGACATTACCACACAACTCTTTCCCGCCAAGTAGTTTCCCACCCGTAATAACATCAAATATACTTTCATATGTGATTTAGCCGGACCAGTGAGATACCCGCTTTGACAGATGTTTCCAATGTTCCAGATGCTGACAGATGCTCTAACACAATCACTATGACCACACAACACGCCGGAATGGACGGCCCCTGTCACCGCGAGCAAGGAGGAAGGACGGACGCCAGCAGGAGCACACGATCTTACGAAGCCGCGGGGCTGTTTTGCGGGGTGCCGTTGTCTACACGGAGCACGAGACATGTGTCCAGGTTTGAGGCGGAGTTGGTAGCACTCTGAGACGCCGTCCTGACTTCGTACTTGTTCCGCCCTGACTGTTTGTCAACGTGCTTTTATGTCTTGCTGTCTCTTTTGCCTCTTCCCGCGGTTTTGTACGTAAATCGATTTTGGTGCATGAAAAACCTGCTTTTTTCGAGGATGCTACTGCAGATGCACTGGCACTGACACCCACGCGTCTGCAATTACATTTGGTGTGGTGGTTATTCACGTAAGTTGACTTCAGCGCCAGACCAGCCTGATTTTTTAGAGGCATCTGCCGCGTAGCAACTAATAGCGGAGGACAGCGTTGCGCGTGCTTACATGGGCCTTGTTTCACTTGGCCTTGGCCCGACGGCCAGCGGACACACCAATTGAGCCGCCTCCCATATTGACGACCAGTAATCAGACGCTTCCTCAGTTGATGCCCTGAAAGTGAATATACCACGAGGCAATGACGGTTTCTCGATTACGTCAATTTTGATAAATTAACTATTGACGGCTGAAATATGAAACCATCGCAACGCCCCAATATTCCTTCAAGAGTTTACCCAGGGCCGATTCCACGCCGGGAAGTCGAAATGGTGGGGGTTGGCTGAGGAAACACAGGTGGTCCATAGCGTTCATCTCCGTCATAGGCGCGACAGAATGAAAAAAACAAAGCGCAGAAAGTATGAGATAGTGTGATTAAAACGTCACCACACTGCAGTCATACACATAATGTCGGGTGAGTGTCACGATGCGCCATCGCACAACGGCCTCTAGACAGTCGGCGCTCAAATTCAGGCCTAATCGACGCGATTAGCCTGAAAGCAAAGGCCACGCGTCTGAAACTTGCACGTTCCATCCTGAAATATGTATGGTATATTTCAGAAGTTGGCCCAATGCCCCTGAGTGCGGAGCCTTGAATGTTTCCCACTGTCGTCAATGGCAATGTCGGCTAAGAACGGAACGGCGTGGAGTTAGACGGACCAGCCGAGCGCCATCGCCTCGCTTAGATCGTCCTGGAGTGCTCGATGTTCCGTGTCGACAGTTGCCCTCAGCAGAACATTGGGCGCCATGCAAAGTTGATGAGCCCCGGCTCACGCGGAGGGACGGCGTAGGCGTGGCTGAAGTCAGCTCGTGGAACACAGACAAAGTTGGGCCAGCTCGCCACCGCTGCTGCTTCAGCATGACATCCGACCGTGGTGACATCAAGGGCGACGTTAATCCCGGGGGGGGGAATGTCGCCGACTAGAGTGATTGCGGCCATGAAAAGCTTCAGTGCATCAGGTTACAAAAGACGCGGGTGATCTTCAATTCATTCGCTGTTATTTGCGTCGAATGCGACGCAATGCTACATGCTACATAAGTGCTGGACACCGCCCAAATCAGCCGCGTCATGAATGCCCAACGAAAGCAATATAAAGCTACCAGTCTGGTACTTAGGTGCTCAAGAATTTTGCAGCCCACCCGTCACGGACGGCTGACATTTTTCAGAGAAACTGCTAGTCTGGAGTTCGAAGAAGCATCCCATTCTGGATCTGGGGCCTGTCCAGCGGTGACGAATTCCAGTGAGTATTCCAAAAAGTCAGCAGGCTGAAAATGGTCAGGCACCAAAGTGGCTCGCGGGGAGCCTGGTGGGTGGTAGACGGGAGAGGGAGGACCGATCATCTTCCAGCCGAGCTGCACGAGCTGTTGACCTATCAGTAGGACCGGTCATCTTCCAGCTGAGCTGCAGGAGCTGGTGACCTACCACGAGGACCGGTCACCTTCCAGCCGAGCTGCAGGAGCTGGTAAGCTACCAGGAGGACCAGTCACCTTCCAGCTGAGCTGCAGGAGCTGGTAACCTACCATTGGCATTACCGACCACGGTGACCTGCCGACAATGCTGCCAGCTCTGGTGATCCACCAGCCGTGTTACTGATTCTGGTGACCAACCGACGAAGCGGCTGATTCTAGCGACATGCCTACCGAATTATTGACTCTGGTGACCCACAGGCAATGCCGCTGATTCTGGCGACTTAAGAAAGAGCTTGCTCACTCTCGTGTTGCTGAAAATAGCTGCTCACAAAGCTATCTACAGAGTTGTTGTTTCTGGTGACCCACTAACAGTGCTGCCTATTCTGACGACCTTCAGAACGCGTTAATGACCCCGGTGACCTGCTAACAATGCTGTTGACTGGTGGCCTGTCCACTGGGCTTCTGACCAGTGACTTACCGGCTCCGCTTCTGACTCTGGTCACCTGCCGACAGAGCTGCTGACTGGTGGCCTGTCCACTGGGCTTCTGACCAGTGACTTACCGACTCCGCTACTGACTCTGGTCACCTGCCGACAGAGCTGCTGACTGGCGACCGACTGACAGCGTCACCAACTCTGCAGACCTACCGGCAGAACCACCGACTCCACAGTCAGCACCGCCCAGACGCTGGTGACGCACCAGCGGTGCGGCCGAGCCTGGCCACCTACCGACGGTGTCACCGACTCCACAGTCAGCACCGCCCAGACGCTGGTGACGTACCAGCAGTGCGGCCGGGCCTAGCGACCTACCGACAGTGTTACGGAAGCTGGTGGCTCGACGTCGGTTGGGCGGCTCCGGCTCGATGGTGGGCATGCCGGTGGCCGAGGTGGTGGTCGACCACATGGAGCAGGACATGCGGCGCAGCATGGCCGGGTGTACAGCGCGCTTCTGTAAACGGGACGGCCCGGGTCAGTACCGACTCGCTGCGGCCGAGGTCAGTGCTAGCCCGCTCCGGCCGAGGTCAGTGCTAGCCCGCTCCGGCCCGGGTCAGTGCTAGCCCGCTCCGGCCCGGGTCAGTCCTAGCCCGCTTCGGGCCAGGTCAGTCCTAGTTCGCTCCGGCCTGGGTCAGTCCTAGTCCGCTCCGACCCGGGTCAGTCTTGGCCCGCTCCGACCCGGGTCAGTCTTAGCCCGCTCCGGGCCGGGTCAGTCCTAGTTCGCTCCGGCCTGGGTCAGTCCTAGCCCGCTCCGACCCGGGTCAGTCTTAGCCCGCTCCGGCCCGGGTCAGTCCTAGCCCGCTCCGGCCCGGGTCAGTCCTAGCCCGCTCCGGCCCAGGTCAGTCCTAGTTCGCTCCGGCCTGGGTCAGTCCTAGTCCGCTCCGACCCGGGTCAGTCTTGGCCCGCTCCGACCCGGGTCAGTCTTGGCCCGCTCCGACCCGGGTCAGTCCTAGCCCGCTCCGGGCCGGGTCAGTCCTAGCCCGCTCCGGGCCAGGTCAGTCCTAGTCCGCTCCGACCCGGGTCAGTCTTAGCCCGCTCCGGCCCGGGGTCAGTCCTAGCCCGCTCCGCCTCGAGTCAGTCCTAGCCCGCTCCGCCCCCGAGCCAGTCCTAGTCCGCTCCGACCCGGGTCAGTCCTAGCCCGCTCCGACCCGGGTCAGTCCTAGCCCGCTCCGGGCCAGGTCAGTGCTAGCCCGCTCCGGGCCGGGTCAGTCCTAGTCCGCTCCGACCCGGGTCAGTCTTAGCCCGCTCCGGCCCGGGGTCAGTGCTAGCCGGCCCCGGCCCGGGTCAGTCCTAGTCCGCTCCAGCCCGGGTCAGTCCTAGCCCGCTCCGCCCCGGGGTCAGTGCCGGCTGTATGGAGGCGTGCTCTCGTGTTGGGCATAACACGGTGCGCCGTAGGCGCTGTGAGACCCGGGGGACTCGTTTCTGTCTGACCCGAGGGGAAGTCCCGGGCCACACTAGCCATATTTTGGACGCGCCATGGACTGCCGGAAAAAAGATGCACGCACACCAAATTCACTGCCTACCTCGGCAACTCTCGCAAACGCATGTTCGTGGTTCATGCCACCGAAAGTGATGTTCGGGCTCTTGAACTGTGGTGTCCGGGCCGGGTAATATTTACTGATTAGTTTAAACAATCTGTGATAATGCTTTCATGCGCATTCGATTGCAGTAGAACAGCTGAGAACAGCTATTTCTTCCATCTGCACTTTGGCCTGTAACATTGGGTTCGCATCGCTCAGCCATGTGGGCATTGCACTGAGTCCCGTAAGATACGCGTTCCCACGCGGGCCTCGATGACAGTGAAATGTAACAATTCTTGATGTTTATATAGCGTCGCCAACAACATAGTTGACGCAAAAAATCAGCCATGCAAACGCAGCAGGCGTATACACAAACGACTGTTTAGCCAAGGCGGCTGATCAAATCGTATATACGAATAAGAAATACGCAAATCTAATTCTCACCGAGCGAGATGCGGATGCCAGTAACCGACACTACTTTGCCTAAAACCAAGCGTTCCATTTTAGATATTTGGAAGAACTGGGGAGAGTCGAAACCATTGATCCCGGTTCCTGATCCATGCCCCTAATCCACCACCCAATTTCAACCTGGTGTGAAAGCAAAACACGCTTTTGTTGACCTTGGCATTTCAGAGAGTTCGTGTCTGCTGACTGTTCAGCGGCGTAGCCTAGCGTTTGGTCGCCCTGGATACAAACCTGCGCGGCTGCACAGCATCGGAGATGACCGACCGGAACTATCGGCTCCGGTGGGAGTCATATGCCAGCGGCGCTTCCGGCGGCCGGCTTGACCTTTCGCTGAGTCTGACCTTACCGCCCCTCGACGCCAAATTAGATGGTGGCATCTGAACTCCGGAATTATTTCGCCGATCTGTGTCGGATCCCGGGCTCAAAACCGGAAACGCTCTCCGCTCACCCCCGGCAATGTATTTTGATCCCTCCCAGATCGGTTTGGCATCTCTGTGCGGGGTCAGGGCGGTCGGCCGCGGCGCCAGGGCGGCTCGCCACCTTGCAAGGGTGTCAGCTGACTCTAAGCTCGCGGTGCGAGCTGCGATGCTTGCATGTCCAGATGCGTGATCACCCCCATATGCTGGTGAGTTATCTCTTGATGGGAACATTTGCATCGCTCAGTTAGCTGCTTGTGGATTGCATAAGCGAAGTGATGCGCTTACAGCATGGGTTGTGATGGCAATCCAGTCGACTATTGCATGCCGATATAAAGCTTGTAAAACTTATGAATGTCAAACGGCTCTCCCGCGAGAGCAGCCTTCCAGTAAAAATCATGGCAACATTTCCCACCCAAAAGGTTGCACCAATTGACCTATGTGCACCCGATTTTAATGATCTCCATCTGGGTGCCGGTAATGACACGCAATTAGGCGAGGTGCAGAATGTCATTTGGCCAATGTCGGATGGGACAGGAGTTCTCGTGAAGCGGTGAAACTTAACATTAAGGGGCTCACACTGCTCATTGGCATTAAAAAATTATATCATTACTATATCTAATTATGCTTCACCACTGCCATTCAGTACCAAATGACCAAGGTGACTACTTGCGCAGCTGGAAACGATAATGTTTCCGTCACGTGTTACCAAAGCGTACTCGAATAGTTTGGGTGCATGCAGGTATGCAATGCAAGCAACTCAGACCAAGCAGTATCAGGTCTGAGCCTGAGTCCGGGTACCAAACGAGTGCTGGTATCTTGAGACCAGGCCCGAGTCCCGAGTCTCTGCGTTACCTGAGCCAAACCCTGAGTCCAGTTTTGTCGCGCACGAGTTCGAGCTAAACCCTGAACCCTTGCTGCTCAGCCCCAGCACACCAATTTCATGTCCGCACGTCCGACCAGAAAAAACGGCCATTAGAACAGCCGCCGCAGTGTCTAAGCGACGAATTAAAGGACGATTCGGCCACAACAGCAAATTTATCAAATGCAACTGAGCGAGTATGGATTATGGATATGGTATGGATTTTTACTGATTATGGATATTGTATGGACCATCATGGATTATGGATTATCAGGTAAGCACACGGAATGTTCACGAAAAAGCACACGGAAAAAAGCACACGGGAGAAATGGCACCATGAGTAAAGTTTGCGTGGATCATTTCTGACGATGACGTCACGGGGATTTAGCCTACAAAAAAATGATGTGATTCAAACATTCGAACGTTCCGGTAAGCTCTTTTGATTCACTATGTAGTTTCTTTCTTTTTTCTCTTGCATCATTCTTATCTTTATTCTAACTTATTTCTTTCTTTCCGGTCCAGTCGGAATCAGACCTGTTTCTGTCAAGTATTTGAGGTAACACATATGGTACTAAATTGGAGGTGCTGTCAAACTAAATGTGCATGGCGTCATTTTGACGGGGTTCTCCGTTCCAGTACTGTCGTGATGTTTTTTCACGAACAGCATTTCAAGTTACATGGAGTTTTGGTGCCTCGCCATAATATTCAGTAAACATCTTAGTCAATGGGGCTTTACGACGCTCTCAGATGTTGATGTTATAAGGCGTCGCCTACCTCTCACTCAGGCAGGAAGGGCGGGTGCCGAGAGAAGTAGAATCTTACATCTCTGGTCTCCCAGACGCGTGCTTAACCACCACGCAATCAGTGCACAGAATCTCCAGTGACACGTGCATCCAAGTTCAGGTGCTTCTTGGGCACCGTCGTAATGATTTAGAAAATGATGAGTGGAAGCTTTTTGAGCATCCTCACATAAATTCGCCAGAAGTGCTGTTAGAATAATCCCGAATTAATGCCATATTTAACTGAATGTGTTTAATCGCGACCTAATGAATTAATGTGAAACTCCGCGCTAAATGTGAAACTCAGTCAAGTATCCCATTTGCCGGCAAGATTCGATTTTAGAGATGAAAATAATTTACTTCGATATCAATTACTTCTGACTTCACAAACATAAGCTGTCCAAATGACGCATCAGCAAACTTCCAGTTGTAAATCACCTTCCGTCCAGCCGAAGTCAGAGCCTGGCCTTCTGCCCGCTGGACCTCGCGCCGCGCGGGCCCGGCTCCGGGCGCCGCAACACGACGACAGAACACCGCGCCCCGCTGACAGAACAGCGCGCTCCGCCGACAGAGCAGCGCGTCCCGCCGACAGAACACTGCGCTACACCGCCAGAGCAGCGCGCTCCGCCGACAGAACACCGCGCTCCGCCGCCAGAGTACCGTGCTCCGCCGCCAGAACAGCGCGCTCCGCCGCCAGAGCAGCGCGCTCCGCCGACAGAACACTGCGGTACACCGCCAGAGCAGCGCGCTCCGCCGACAGAGGACCGCGCTCCGCCGTCAGAATAGCGTGCTCCGCCGACAGAACAGCGCGCTCCGCCGCCAGAGCAGCGCGCTCCGCCGGCAGAACAGCGTACTCCGCCGACAGAACAGCGCGCTCCGCGGCAGACTGCCCCAACATTTTTCAGAGACGCTCGGCGGGCCCGCTCGCAAACTTGCCCGCCCGATTCGAAAGGAGGGCAGCTGAAATTGCAAAAGTTTCGTGTGCGACGCGCGAGGCGCTCCAGGTGGTTTTGATACTTGCGGTGTTCCAGCTCGAATCAGACCACCACCACCATCTCCTCCGAGTGGCAATGGAAACCACTCACCAGATGGGTTACTTTAGCTGCCTACCGCCACTGTCAGTGCCGTCGCGATAAGCATATTGCTGCAAGGCAAGGTCGTATGAAAGTCATGAAGTGTGGCCAATCTTACATGCGGGTTGTTGCTGACCAGATGCAGTCGAGTATCTTTAACCCGTGAGAAAAGTCCAGAAATTCACATGCCTGGCAGCAGGCCACAACAGTGTCATATTCTGATATTCCCAAAGTCATCCTAATGGTCTATTTGTAACGGGCGTTTCTCAGCGCGTCTGACGCGCGTCAAAGGCAGATGACGCCACGACAAGAGGTGTGACGTGTAATGCATACCCGGGGTGGCTCACACTGAGATAAAAAAAAAATGCATGTCCATTATAGTGGAAGTCATACCTAAAATACAAAGGTCACCCCAAAAGTGTAGACACATCTTATCTTCTTAGACAATCATCTTAGACATTCGGGTGCGCGAGAAAGCTGCAAGTGATAACCCGCCGCTAATCATATGCATGTATGCTCAGAAGTCCCGTGCCACGCGTTGCAATAACAGACCCAAACTCCCCCTCCCCTTCTTCAGATCCGCCCCTCTTATCCTTTATCCTGCTTCATCCTGCATTTCCGCGACACCTCGCTTGTCCGGGGCAGGCTGCATGCGTCAGCCACGAGTGGGCTGAGAGCCCCGTGCGAAGGCGGACCCCGACCGGGTACCCAGCGCGCATGCGCGAGTTACAGCTCGGTGGTTGACCCCCAGGCGCATGCAAATATGCCCCATCGTTAACCATTTTCCTTCATCCCATGGCCCTGAAATAATCATTTCTGGTCAAAAGGGCTCTGATAAAAATCAACAAACAAACACACAAACAAACCTCTTCTCCCGCTTCTCCTCTGCCTAGCGTGACCAGAAGCGTGATGGAATAGGAAAGGATCTACTGAGTGTAGCGGGGAAAATGTAGGTGTCGAAAAATATGACGCATGCTCCAAAAGCATGACGCAGGCAGGTACCCAGTTTATAGTCAGTGGCTACGCACGCGGCCCCGACTCGTGATAAAATGTCTACGTGAGCAGACGTCAAAGGGGTTGCTGTAGGCCCTTTGCATGATTTAGGTGTCCTAAATTATGCAGGCTTCTGCCCACCTCGAAGTCTCATTCGCTACTCGTTCATCTCTGTTCATTCCCGTTGCTCTGTCGATCGACGGCTGTATGAGGAGAAGCGACACGTTTCGCGAGTCCATGCATCACACTGGCCGCCGATGAATTCTTGGCGCAACGGTCGTCCCGAATCATCTCGGGGACCACAGGATATTCACGGTCGTCCCGAATCATCTCGGGGACCACGGGGTATTCACGGTCGTCCCGAATCATCTCGGCGACCATAGGGTATTCACGGTCGTCCGGAATCATCTCGGGGACCACGGGGTATTCACGGTCATCCCGAATCATCTCGGGGACCACAGGGTATTCACGGTCGTCCCGAATCATCTCGGGGACCACGGGATATTCACGGTCGTCCCGAATCATCTCGGGGACCACAGCGTATTCACGGTCGTCCCGAATCATCTCGGGGACCGCAGGGTATTCACGCGATAGCCTCTGGAGGCACGTGCCCCCCCCCCCTCCCCTCTTATCAAATTTATTGTATGCATTAAGGGAATGAATGTAGAGTGTTGAAAACCTGGTAAAGTGTAGAGCAAATGTTTCTAAACTTGATGAAATGTTGGATGAATGTCATCACATGAACAAATGTCCACGGTTAGAATCCTGAGGTAAACGCATAACACCAAATAAACCGAGGACATGCAGCATTGCTTAACCTCATGCAAGATATGTTGCACGTCTGGCACGCGCTCAACTGGATTTTCAGTGACGGTTTTGAGCTGTGTGCCCTTTGTGTCCCCCCGCATACGGCCCACTGAAGCTGCCTCTGTTGGGGACCATCCATGAATATTGCCTTGGGGTATTGGAACATGTCCGTCCCCATATGTGGCCACCTGAAGGGGAATGATAACATTACCGGGATCGATATGCACCAGAGATATAGGTCCATGCAACAGCACTCACGCCAGGACCGTAGATGTAAATATGCGGTCCACCAGTCATCTGGGATCCCCCATCCTGCAGCACACCAGCCAACCCCAATTGTAGCTGTCCGTTCCACCTCTCCTCACAATCCTCCCCTCGTGACCTGGCCCCGCACTGCCTTCCCCACACCGTGACCCGTGCTGCTGCTCCCCGTCCGTGACGTACTCTGGCCTGCAGGTTGCCGGCCGTCTCGCCGGTGAAGGGTATTTCGTCGGTGCTGGAGCTGAGGGCGTCGTCGAGCCGCAGCAGCGCCGGCGGGTGCTGCTGCACCCGGCCCGGCTGGCTGGGCGGCTCGAGCAGCTGCGCCAGCGTGTGCAGGCCGGCCAGGATGTGCGGCGGCAGCGCGCTGGCCGAGCTGTCCACCAATAGGTCCGTCACGATGCCGTGCGACTCGGCGATGATAGCGGCGCTCGTGCTGGCCGTCACCGCCTGCAACGGGGTCAGACGGCCGTCAGCGCCTGCGGCAAGCGCGATGGCTTGGTGGCAGTGGTGCGCAGTACACGTGGGTGGCCCAGGTGCCGTTGCCGCTGGAGCCGCAGTCGCTGAAAGCCTGTGGAGGTTGCTGGAACCTGTGCGTCCTGTCTGTATTAGGAAAGAGTCCTGGTGGAGACAGTCAGCCCCACTGAAAGCGTGCTGCTCTCGCCGATCAGCAGCGGGGGAACACGTGCCGCCAGTGTACCTGTTTTCTGACAAAGAGAGCGACTCGCCGTCACGTATTGTTACAGGTATTTCGGCCGTCACCACTTCTGACGAGATCGTGTAGAGGGTGTCCTGCGGTGAGGGCGGGGAGGCAATGCCCGATAGACTGATAGAAGGAGACTTGCTTGGGGAGTGTTGGACCACGTGCGCTGGGCTGAACCAGCCAAAAGGAGGAGCCCGAACTCTGCATGTGATAACACGTCTGGAGGCGGCACACAACGCTGCCTCAGCGAGTGCGAACGGGCTGGACTGACACGGCGAGAGGTTGCGTGGCGGCACGCGATGTGAAAATATACCCAGTTCGCAACTGCTCGAGACAAAATAAACCGTCTGTCTTGCGAAAACAAGGTACGACAGAGAGCGCAAAGCGTTCGTATGCCAGATGCCGCACAGGTACGCATTGCCGCTGGATTTCACCCATCCGACACCCAACCGTTATCGTGAGGCTTCCTCCATGACTCTCACAGTGACATTAAAACTCACATTGACCTCGCGTGCATCGCAAAAGGCCCTAGGGGAAGGGTGGGGCACAGCTTAGCACCTAGCACCATTTACTGAACATGTCCAACTTGTGCGATTTCCCGGTGCTGTCTTTACAGACGCATCAAATTGTTTTGATCACCCATGTGTAATCACCAGTTTTGTTTGTTTGTTCTTTTTAACTAGCCATGCTTGAAGGAACGTATGGTAGCATGACGTTTCGCCAACACTTACAAGTGCATCACAAGGATCCTGTGAGCGGCTTGTCTGCTCTGTGGCCCGCGCCGGATGCCTCCCCGTACCGTACGTACCTCGCTGAACACGTCTCGTGTGTCTCAACAACGGCGCATCAAAAGCCGGCGATGCTGCTGTCAGATCGGCCGGGCCCGTCAGGGTGAAGGACAGCTGATGTATGGCGGGAGCGGACGGTATTGACGCGGCAGATACGTGTGGTATGAGGCGCAACCTCTCATTTTTATCTGATCTGCAGACTCAGTTATTGAATGGAGCTTGGTGTACCATGAAAGCTTTTTGATTTTATTCGTCCTGTACGGAGGGAAAAGCTATTATGCTTAGGGCCAGTATTCAACCCCAGCAAGGCACATACTAGTGCAATATTGTCACGCCTGCGCATTGACTCTGGTCGTAAAGGCCAATCTATAAGTTTTGCGAATTCAGAATAATGCACTTCTATGCGACCATCAAGAAAACACAAGTCTAGTCTATTCTTTGTCCATGGCTCCCCGCTGAAATCAAAACTATGCAAGATCATTGCAGCACAAAGAGAAGTGGCAGTTAGTGAAAGATACCAAATGGAAGGGGAAAGTACGGCAAGTGTACATGTATTTAACCTGAAAATTATTTAAGCATGAAAATGGCGATATTTTTAAGGAAACGGGACACGCGTGACCCACACCTTTTTATGGAACTCCAGTGACTGTAGAGGCCCCATTAGCGCTCATGAGGATTCGAACTGGAGCCCTGCGTGGAAGCCGAGAGCGTGAACTACTCAGCCATTACGCCACGATTTCGATAGGTTCGGTCACTTTAAAGTGAGTTTGTGGAACTCAGTAAGCGACTGAGCTGGGCCCAAAGTTCTAAACAACGTTCCCAGGCGTCATCGATTTTCGACGTGAACGCGGCCATCATTGGACGGTCCAAATGGGGCCAACGGACCCCTATCGCAGCGAAGCACCCGCCTGCGCTGGGGGCGGCAGGCTCGCTGCGATCACACGCAAGTCAGGCCCATCGACTCCCGACGCGCCGCCTTACGTGGCCCCGTGCGCCCGCCGAGAGGTCGCTTGCGAAGGGCTTCCCTGTGGGCCAATTCCGGCTTCACCAGCGCGCCGGCCGTCAGGCAATGGCCTACCCCGCCATCTGGACCGATATTGATGTGCTAGCCAGAATCGCCAGCCGTCGGTGATGCTGTTAAAGCGGCGACACCAAAGCCTTCTGCACGAACAGCACTGTCGCATGTATCAATAACCAAGCTCATGTATGCCGCCCTAGTGGGCCAAAAGACATGTGTTTGTCGTCGCTGCTGAAGTATTTCCAACTCGCCCTGAGTTGTGACGTGCTTCATCACGTGCAAGGCGATATGCACCATTGACGCATTGGTAAAGCATGGCATCGTTACCCGCACTAGTTTCAGCCTGGATGTGAGGGTACCGGCCTAAAGCCGGCACATTGCCGCATTTGGGCACAACACAAAATATTCTCATGCATGATGGTGACGCATGCGTCAATGCATTCATTCCCGATGGCCATGTTCCAGTTTGCGTGAGCGAGGGGGGCTTCCACTGCCATCCCGTGCTCTGGTATAGCGCCGGCGGCCGGTACAACGGTATCGAAATCTTGCATCTCTAGTCGGAGCCCTGCGTGCTGCTGAGCCGACATGTCCCCAAGAGTTAGTTCCCGGTGAGGTGTGTGCCTTTGTTCCTCTCCAACGAACGCTGACAGCGCGCCCAAATTCCCGCGACTTCAAAGGCGTTCACGAGTTGTTCGTGTCAGAGATCTAGCGGCAGGAGTATTTTTCTTTCTCTTCTCAGGGAGCCTGGTCGGGACCTACGTTAGAAGCGCCTTACCTACGTCAAGAGCACCGCGACGCACTTCCCTGTCGGCTACGCGCCCCACGAAGGGCGGGAATCCGCGGATCTGTGCTGCACTGGGGGGCAGACAGTCGGCGAGCCGGGCCGAGGAACCAAACGAACAGGCCTCGGGTCGTCCCTAGCCAATCGCCGCATTTTCATTGCGTCATGGCCTCTGAGATGGACCACTGCACTCATCCCGGTGAGGTGGCCCTAGTAAGCGCACATGCACCAGGCGTCTTCAAGTACATTTAATGTTTCGCTTTCGCAGTTAGTCTCTGTCCATACGCTTTGGTAGGTGGGCTGGAGTTTTTCGTTTTTGTTTTTTTTGTTAAGTTTTTTTGTCGTTAAGAAACAGGCACGCTCCACTCCATGCTACACACGCGCACCAACCATCCAGAGCGGCGGTGCGCGCACAAACACATGCCCAGTTCATTCTCGCTCGGACTGGGATGGCGGGACGGGCGCTGGGCGCGGCGCGCTCTATTGTTCGGCGGCGCGTCTGTCCCAGCACAATAACCTGCTTTTCTCGTGGCAGGCTGCAGCTGGCAGGCGGCAGTATCGATTTGCAGGAAGCGCGTGCATCTGACACCGGCGAGGCAGCCAGCGACCACACGGTGTCACCAGTGTCAAATGAACGGCACCAAACCCGGCGGGGGGCGCACCTCCATAGCTCGGCTGACGAGCGCTGGGTCGCGGCAGCATATCATCACGCCGGCCGGTCGGGAGTGCCGAAACAGCAGCTCGGCGACCGGCTCCGACGCCACACTCCAGCCTCAAGACGTTCAGAAGGGTTCTCTCTGGAATTTCATCAAGCTCTTGGCGTGGACGACGAGCATGACAATAGGAGATTATTTGAAGACGCGGGTAAGAATTCTTCGAGGATGATTGACTCGGCATATTGGTGTGTTCCCAGTAATATGTGTATCTATGCTGGGTGTTGGCCCCAGACCATTTCCCCGGCGATGCCCATATTTTTACAACAATATGCATATATGGGACCCTAACTCAATTTAACGCGGGGACAAAGGTCTTGATCCTTCGGGGACATATTCGTGACGCTCTTAATCAGAAAAAAAGACAAAGATTGGGCGCCAAGACCACGTCTGAAAATGTCTGAATCCAAGCCTCAATTTTGACACGAGCGGTGGCAATCCCAGGTGCGGCGAAGTTCAAAAGGTTTGCTTTTTACGCTCCGCCCCTTTTCGGCATGGTCATAGACCTGCTTTTGTAATACGAGCCTCCTTAATGAATGGACCTACGAAACCAGAGTTCAAGCTGAGCAAAGCTTGTCGTGTAAGCCCTGGCCCCTGCCATCCGATTACGCAATTCCAGGCCAACGGTAGAATTTGCAGGCGAAAGTTGTCCGTGCCGCAATGTTTGGCATGGTCCGTTCTACCATCTAACGTCATGCGACCTTTAGCAGCACTACCGCCGCCGGCCGCAGGCCGCGCCTATCAAGGGGAAATAACGAGCACCCTAAAGCGACTCGAACACACTACGCCACGAATGGGTGGATAGCAAGGCAGACACTCTAACCAACTGAGCTATCGAAACGAACACATCTTTGGTCTCCTTCTTTTGCATATAATTCCTGAAGAAAGCGAAACAATGTTTCATAAAAACGCAAATGCTGTCACCTGAGCCGAGGGCGGTTCTATCTTATTGATATTATGCAGCCTCAACGCACATTCATTAGTAATGAAATGGACCTTTCGTGCAGTCTGACCATGCATCGCATGAACGATGCTTTAATGCACAACAATTCTCGCAGTACCTTGGTATCTTCTTTCACAAAATGGTTTCAAAGCTGAATACATAGCAAGCTGCGGCGCCCCCTGATGATGAATGGCACATCCTTTCTGCCAGGTGGCTCCTCTTCATTTTGTAATAACTTTGCCAGAACTTGACGCCACACGGGTCGAATGAAGGCGGGTTCCATCTGATGTTACGTCGCATGGGAACGTTTTGGTCTACACTGCTCTAAAGCCGATTCGGCGGAGTGATGACGTGGACCAGTTTAACCATCTACATGCCAGCAACGTTTACAGTGCTGTCAGTTTCGCCAGGCTTTTGGCCCAAAATGGACAGGACGAAGATGCGTTGCAAGGAGGGGAAAATAAGAACAATTTCATTGCTGTCCAAGTTCAAAGGATGACATCC